TTGAGGTCGCTGCAGAGAGAATTGAGTGTGGAATCCGAAAGCTACCAATTGAGCTAACAAGCCAACTGGGAGCAGGCCGTTAAGTTGATTCGTAATAAACCCGTGAAAGTGATAAATAAGATACAATGAAATATATGAAGTTCATATATTTTGAACTGCGGTATTAGATACGTATGATGCACGATTCTCGCAATAGATAGCGCTATTTAAGCAATAGCGAAAATCAGACCTGAAAAAAATCCTGTACAGGCCTGCGAGAATCGTGCATCATATGTAATTCCTTTATTCACTCCGACGAAGGGCTAATGTCAGCTTTTATAATCGTAATGGTGGCCAATTTACTATTTGAACTTTGTTGATATATTCAAATTATCTCGTTACCCACACCAACGCAGCCCCAAACAGTTTCTCTAGAAACTATCAGCCTTTATTCAAATGAAAGAAAAGTCGAAAGATCATAAAGAATGACCTCATGTTTGATGTTCAGATCGCATGATCACTAATCACTCGGGGAGTGGGGAAAAAAGAGGTAGCTCAAGTGTAGTTCAAGCTTAGAGTTAAACAAGCTTATTTTTCTAATACGTCTCCTTGGGGGAATTCAAATTTCGTTGCCTAATTTGGTCGCAGCAGGTCACAAAATCACTAATTCTGTGCTCTAGAAATGTTCTGTTAAAGAATTTCCTTGTATACTCCAGTTTGTTATGTTAAAGTTTACGTGGGCTTAAGATCTATGTTGTGTTTCCGGTTCATTGTTTGAGACAACCCCGTAAGGTCATTTCCGCCTAGATGATAGACCTTTATACGTGCATTTGTTGTTCATTGAACTGAAAAACACAGCAAAGATGATGAGCAGAATAGGAACTTTGATGAAATATTTAACGTTTTTCGTCTTCGTCTGCGTTATACCAAGTCAATCGACTTCAGGTAAGAGAGAATTTGGATGTTATCCCGGGGAGTCAATTAAGAATCCATTGCGCGAGATTATCCGAGACGGATGTCGCTCGAGATCGAATCGCATCACAGACATTTTTATGGACAAATTTACATGTTGAGAAGACACCTTTATGATTGCATCAATAAAATTTGCTATGAAGGAAGAAAGGTTGAAGTTTTCAATTTAGTCTGTGTTTCGATAATGAATTTTTAGTTCAAGGCGGGGTTTGAATGAAACCCCGGACCCAGTTTAAAAGTGCCTGTACGAAATTTTTCGAAAGCATTTATATTCAAGCGCTTATATTGTTATAGTTCCTTGTTCCCCATCATTCCTGCAGTATAGGAAACAGCACAATAAGCCGAAGATGCCTTTGACCAAATTGTTCGTAAATTCGCGAAAATTACTTGTAACTTGTTGATTTTTGTAGATCCCATTGGACACTACCTTAGCATTGCCTTTATAATGCGCTCGATTCCAAAAAGAGACAAAATTTTTGAAAGCTGGTTCTTACACCAGTTGACAAGCCGACCACAACAATTTTGGAGACAGAAGTTAGGCACTTGTGGAATTCTCGTCGAGTAGATAAAGAAACTGACAGGCAAATGTTTTGCAATATATCATAGTATTATTTCAATGCCTATGAGGATCGAAATATTTCAGTTTGATATCCCTCTCAAACCCAAACAAAAATCTGTACTTGACAAACTTGGCCAGTTTACGTATTGATTCTTTTTATTATCTACTACGAAAGTTTACACAAGCTGAATCTCTATCTAAAACTTTCATACACACATGAGGCGCGACTATCTGGTAGCACCATTTTATATTTTTATTAGGCGACCGACGGATTGTCTGGTCACAAAAATATACTCTTTTCCTGNAGATTACGAATAAAACTAAATAGTCTACAAGAGAGACAGGCGCGACCACTGTGTCGGCTACTGTAGCAGGCGTAGATAGTGGCGTCTCCAATCCAAGCGATCCAAGCTGTCTTGAGCTGCCGCGAAAATTCGATCTTCCAGCCATTTCCGAGTCAAACTGGTGAAAATTTAATAATTCCCTCACCAACCTAAATTGATCTGAAGCAACCACTAGCTATTCAACGAGATTTTTTCGTCGTAACGCTCTTCTAATTATTCTGAAGAGGGCTGAAACATTAACAGTGTCCTTCTTTGGCGACGAACCAAACCACGGTGGGTCGACTTGTCCACCATTTCCATCGACCAGATCGCGGACGCATACTTCTGCAATGTCCTCAATCACTCCTCATGAACTCTCTTGATTTACAAAACCAGTCGTTTGATACAGTGTACCAAATTTTGCCTGGATCGAGCGACAGTCCGAAAATTCGGCGAAGAGGATATAGCTTCGCCGCCATATCTCGTTCGCGCCAATTTTTGTATTACGCGCGACGAAGCACTTTGTTATATATTAAGTGTAATTAGAGTCGACAACAAACCATTTATGGATACATGATCTGGTTTTCATTTGTACAGCGCACTCAAGATATACTTAGCACCTTCATCCACCGCAAACTGTGCAGTCATGACAGATCTGTAATTTTGCTAATTCGATTTTCTTGACTACCCCGGAAATTAGAACCCATACCCAGCTGTGAATTTCAAAGTCGCATAAGGCTCGTCTAGAGTTAATAGCGCAGCGCGGATATTACGTCACAGAAATTAGACCCCCAGCGCGATTCGGACAAACATTGAGGTCGCTGCAGAGAGAATTGAGTGTGGAATCCGAAAGATCGTCTCTACATTCTTCTAAAAAAGAGGTTTTCTTGACCGAAAATGATGGTGTTCCCGGTTCAAAGTTTATCCGTGACCCAGATAACTATACCGTTGAACAATTGAAGCGATGGCTTAAATGTAGAGGCCAGAAAGTTTCTGGAAAGCGTAGCGACTTGATTGCTCGCGTGAGAGGTTGTATCCTTACCGGAGAGGTGAAAATGGTTCTTTATTCTTTATTCTTTATTATTATTGTTTATGTCATACAAGTGAATTCCTAAGATTGGCCAAAGCCAGAGGCTTAAATGGCTTATGGTCAGAGACAGACTAATTTTTCAAAGAACAATCGACTAATCTAAGGTATTCTAATCAAAGCTAATCTAATCTAATCAAATCTAGGTAATAAACAATAATCGGGGTATATTAGAAGTTCAGTATAATGTTCACAAATTTACAAAGAGCAGTAGATTAATCTAAGTAGTAAAAAATAGTCCGGGTATATCAGAGGTTCAGTATAATTAGAGGTTCTAATTGTGGTTTCTTTGATTGTCCTGCCACGGCAACTCAACAATTGTTATAAAGTCACAATAGAAAATTCTGTCCTAAGTCTAAGAAGACAAATGTATAATTTTTCCAGAGAAGAAATTTTTGAAAGTCGCCCAGATTTTTTTCGCGATCGGCACCTGGTTGTTTTTCCGGAAACTCCAGAACGTTATGAGTTTCAAAGGGCAAATACCATCCAAAAACTCGTATAAAATTTTAAACTGCGATGAAGTTAATGCAATATAATGTTTCATCAGCTTTTAGTTTTGTGCTACTACTTCATAAGAAAGTTTGCTTACAATTCGCACAGTTTCTGTTGGAACTATGAGCTGATTGTTTGCTATTATCCTATCGACTCGATTTGCGAGCTCTCTAGCCGACTCGTGCTTCGAGATATCCGTTTGTGTAGCTTTGCTGTTCTCTAACTCGGGTTCGTTTTCGTTAATATCCTCTTCTACATCGTCTAAAACGTCGATTGAAGCAGACAGACAAGATTTAGAAAGCATGTCGCTCTGACCATAGTAGAGGGAACTGTGTGCAGGGTCATGCTTTAGTGACGGTACGTTCAAGTTCGAATGCCTAACAATAGAGGCGTTCTCTGAAGTTCGCCGAGCTTCCTAACCAGTCCCCTCTACTAACTATGCTCTGACTTTTCGCCTTCTTTATGCACGGCTCATCTGGTATCCTTTGTTTTGGCTCCTTCCTCTTTCGGCACGCTTTCTCGACTTGCTTCGTCGTTAGATTCGCGTTTAGAGGATCTGGGAACTCTTCGATAGGTCCTTTTCCCAGGCCAATGAATTGCGCATATATATGTGTATTTATTTACATTATTGGCGCTGAAATTTTTACGCGAACAAGCGCTGATCCATCTAGTCTCTCACATCGCTCGCGATCTTGCCATGGCTTGATGAATGGTATGAACGCCTTCTTGCCCGATTTCTCCAATTCTGTCAACGATTTGTGTAGCTTATCAAGATATCTGGAATCACAGTTACATCTTCCCAGACAGCAATATTTTATTCCTACCATTTTTGGCCGAGATCATGAAAAAAATATAAAAATAATGAAATACAAGCCAAAATTCACACACATTTACTGTAATCATGGTGGTGTTTGTCCGAATCTGCCTGGGGGGTCTAATCGGTGAAGTCCATTTATAGAATATCCGCGCTGCGCTATTAACTTAGCTAGGTCATACGATGATTTTTTTTTTATTATGAACTACAACAAACGTATTACACAAGCTGAATCTCCATCTAAAACTTTCATACACGCATGAGGCACAACTGTCTGATAGCACCCTTTTACATTTTTATTAGGCGACCGACGGATTGACTGGTCAAAAAAATATTCTTGCTTTTCACTCACGTGACCAACTCCTTGACAACGGTTACGGTCCGCCATCTTTGAGTACAGCTTTGCCTAACAACCAACTATTCAAACGCAACTCAAATTCGGAAAGAGCTTTTCAGTTGTTTTTGCGATGGTTCTCTGCTTAATGATCAATTGCCATAATCGCACTGGCCGAGATAAAGATATCAAGTTCTATGTTGTGCCATCGATTATCAAAAATCAAGGCGAAAAGGCCGAAGAATTGTCTATCGAACGGCGAACAAGATGGCTTTCCGCCATTAGCCGTGACAAACTTTCCGAGTCAGTCTTGCGACATGATCGCGTCTGTAGTCGCCACTTCGTATCAGGAAAGCCTGCAGCAAGTTGGGATAAATACAACGTTGATTGGGTGCCCACTTTGAATCTTGGACATTCAAAGAAACAGCGAGACGACGAGCGACAACTTCGAGATACTGAAAGAGCCGAAAGAGGGAAATTGCGACGTAAACGACAACACGAAGAAACACTTCAAGCCTCTGCTGCCAAAATACTCAAGTTAGATGAGCCAGGTGAACAAGTAAAAGACATTTTTGCGAACAGTTCTCTGAACGAAAATGTTGAGGATGTTGCTAGCCACTTTGAAACGTTGAGTGTGGCCGACGTAGAAGCCAATAAAAATGAAACCGTAAAATGTGATCAAGCTGAATCAAGCACTCAGACAGACGAGTTTGAATATTTGTTCAGCTCAAAATGCTCTTGCAAAGCACCTTTTGACGCTGATGATATGACAGATGACGAAAAAGTAAGGTTTTACACTGGTCTTACCGAAGCTAAAACTCTCCAACTTGTTTTCGAGCATGTCTCACCCTTTGTTACGCGTAAATCGAAATCTCTCTCTAAATTCCAAGAGATGGTCATGTCACTGATGAAAAATCGAATTAACGTCCCATATCAAGATCTTTCATACCGTTTTGGAGTATCAGTGTCAACGGTCTACAGAATTTATACTACCTGGATGGAAGTTATGGATGCTCGACTCTCACCATTGATTTACTGGCCAGAGCGACATGAACTATGGCACACAATGCCCAAATGTTTTCAATCTGCATTTGGAAATAGAACCACAGTAATTATCGACTGCTTTGAGATTTTCATTGAGCGCCCTACGAATCTTCTTGCAAGGGCACAGACATTTTCATCCTACAAGCACCACAACACCATCAAGGTACTCATTGGTATCACCCCCCAAGGGACAATTTCATTCTTGTCAAATGCTTGGGGAGGCAGAACCTCTGACAAATATTTAACTGAAAATTGTGGTCTGCTGAATAAGCTTCTTCCTGGAGATATGGTAATGGCAGATAGGGGATTTACTGTTGAAGAAAGTGTGGCTTTTAAAAGAGCTGAACTGGTGATACCTGCTTTTACTAAAGGAAAAACACAACTAGACCCTATCGACGTAGAAAAGACAAGGGAAATTGCCCATGTCAGAATTCACGTTGAGAGAGTGATTGGGCTTCTACGCAGAAAGTATACCATTTTGGAGGGAATTCTTCCAACAGACTTTTTATCCACTAGTTCTAAGGATCAATCTCCATTGATTGATCAGATTCTAAGGGTTTCAGCTGCACTTACAAACTTATGTCCCCCAATTGTACCATTTGACTGATCATCGATGAACATTTAGGAAATTAGTTTACCTGTGTGGGTACGTAANGAACAAGTAACCAAAAAGTCAGGAGTTGCGTGCAGCCATGGTCTGCTTTTGTCGATAAACATTCCACACTTGGACACATTAAAATCTTTATGCTTCCCTGATACTGCTTTTGTGTAGGCATCAATAGCCTTGGCTTCATTTTTGTTCCCATACAAAGTTGCCTCAGTTGTCACTTTAAATAGCTGAGGATAACAAATGGTTTTCACCAATGATATCGATGGTTGTGCTGCAATTGTATGGAAAACGGTATGACTTTGGGACGCTCCAATTCTACCTGCTCGGTGAATAAAAAATGCAGATGTTCGTGACTGTTCTCGGGTGTCCTCCTCAATAGTTTCTATCTCTGCTTCCGAGAGAGATATGTCAATTTCAGAGCATTTAGTTAGCAAATCAACATAGTTCAACTTTAAGTTTTCAGGATCAAACAGGTCACTGAGGGTAGGAATCCGCCGGCTTTTCAACATAAAGCTATCAGCATAAGGTGAAATAAGACTAAGAATAACAGGCTTGTTTTTACATTCATTTAACTTGCGGAAAAGATCGCCAATTTCTTGGTCAGATGGTTTACACTCTGCTGATTTTGACGGCGCTTTGTTTTGGCTGGATTGGCTATCAACGTTGAACTGGCCTTCGTCGATTTTCTTGTCAAGTTCAACTTTCATTCGCCTAGCTGATCTAAAATCTATGTCCTTAACTTTGGAATAGGGCACTTCTTTCACGTACGTTGGTAACAACCAGGTACATTTGACCTGAGTGCAGGCAAGTTTTCCGTGTATTCGTGTCCACGCTTCGATATAAAATAATACACTTGCGATATGTGAACACGATTCTCCTAAACCAGCAAGACAATTAAAGCAATGAGCGGACGCAATTACTCCTTCTTTATTGGCAATGATCCATACTTTGATAGGTGGATCGTTCATTCTTTGCGATCGACGAACCTTACCAATGACAACAAACATATCTGCGATAACTCTTCCTTGAACGCTCGTTACAAACCCTGAGACCACTTGATTGTATGCCTCCAAACTTTTAAAGTTCTTAAACTGGTTTAGTGTGTAGTAGCTTGTTTCTAAAACAAGGTAAGATACAAGATCCCCGGCTTCTATCGGGGGAAGACATTCTGGATCGAAGTGTGAAGTATCGAGCGTAGAGGGATCGATGCCTATTACTGCAATTTTTTCCACATAACGGCATCGCACGTGGTTATCTAGGCCTTTTACATATTCAGATAAGACGAG